CAGCGCATGAAAAGAATATGATTCGCGATCATCCAAAACTAAGTTAGTTTGAAGAAATTTTGAGGAATTGTAATTGGAATAGCGCGCTTTTTTACGGTAACGTTTTACCACAAGGCTCTCAAAGGACCTCCATTTTGAAGGACTTTTCTATTTGAGAGATTTTAGAAGGGACGGACTATCTGGCCTCTCCTGAATGCGAATTGGTGGAAAATTTACGCATCAGGCGCCACTTCATCATTTTCTCGACATTCACAATCAAACACTATAATCTCAAGGAAAAATCGCAATGTTTACGCAAGGTTGCATAGATAAATTAGCTATGAATTTCGTGACAGGCATGACAGATACACACATATATCCGCATATACAAATACACACTCGCTATATGCTACATATAATGGTTGTTGGGTTTTTAAAGATAGAATAATCCTGATTACTACGTACGAGCGATATAAAGCCATAGTGAAAAAAAGATAAATACTTCTTGAAAGGGAATGGTGAAGAAGCAAGACAGGAAAGACTAAAATTACAATAAATCAAATTGTTTCCTATTTAGCAGTTCACCTCTGCTTACTGCTCTACCAACATTTGGCAAAAAATCTGTTGATTTAATTCGGAGTCATCCCAAAGTTTATCGAGCCATCTGCTATCAGGTGGCAGAGGTAAGAAAGTTTTGCACGAAAGAATCATCCTACACAAACATTTTTAGCTCATGTTCGCAGCTAGCGTTATAACCTGCTCAATATATGTGAAGTCACAAGCGTTAACACATATGGCTCGACGCATAGAAAAACTTCATACAGAAAATGAATTTCTTGAAAAGCTCACTTCGAGCGTAAGCTACTGCAACATTGAAACCTTTCGCAAAATTGGCAGCTTCGAAACTTTTAAGATGGAAGCCTCGATGAGAATGTACGGTCTCGTTCCATTCATTGGTGGTATCGTTATTGCAGCAATCAATGTACTGTTAATCCAACAGGTAAACTTCTCACATATTATTCTAAATGAAAATCGAAATAAGACTGCGCCTAGTGCTCTATGTAACAAGTGAAAAAACACACAAATAGTCGTTCTCGTAAGTTTACGGTTTTGAAAGAAAAGCATGAAGAGCTTGAGATGAGCATTCCAAAATTAAATTTTAAAATGCATTCCAAAATTTTCGCATACAAACATATGTTAGCAAAGTGAAAGTGAAGCCAGAAGTTCAAACCCAAGACGGGCACAAATGCACAAACTAGAATCATTCAATGTTGAGCAGTCATTTCTTTCAAGAATTTTTAGGAGGTAGCGACAGGGTTATACCGGCGAATAATCACGCTATCTGATTTGAGATAATAGCTCCTTAATTCATGGAAACATTCACTCTGTCACCTTATCTAACTGCAAAAAATCACTTATCATCTCAGACACTCCTCCGGGCGAGGAACTTGCCTCAAAGTCCTTACCGAATAAACGGACGTTCCTTCCACGAACAATTCAATAAGCGAATCCGCATGCTGTCTTGCGACTGACGCACCGCACAAAGCTACGGCAGTCGCATCTGAACAAATCTGCTAGACCGTTCACAAAAGTTGCGGAATAACTTCAATAATTCCGCAAAAACATTGGGTGATACGTCAAGCAACTAGACAGGGACTACTGGACGAGTACCGAACAAAATCGAGCAAAATCCGAATAAGCATAACCGGTCAGAAGGAACCAAAATATGATTACTTCTGACCGGTTATGGCCGTCTGACTCGGCCGGAGTGTCTGAGATAGGACATACTCCCTTTCTCCAAGCAATAATTCGCCGATATTCTCTGATAAAGACCAATTTGGCTAGAAGAGGTCTGACTACAAATTAATATGATGATGATAGTTAAGTTTAAGAACAATTTCAGTGCTTCCAGTATGGCATCAATATCAGAAGCAATCTTTGCGGAATAGCAGCTATAATTACGATGACCCTTATAATCTTTTCCGGAAGTGGTGAGTAGCAGAATAAGCGTTTCCAACGAAAGCACATTTACTTTAGCTCTTGTGCTTCTGGACATTTCGCATTACCCGAACGACAGCGCAGGTGTTAGCAAGGATAACATCTATCTATTAATGCACTTCGTGAAAGTAGCAATTGATGAAGGAGACCCAGTCTTAAACAACATCGTTCACACTCTTCATGAACAGGTATTTTTTCTCGGTCACTGCATGATCCGTGCTTGTAGAATAAGCTCTACTCTTTTTTTATTCATTTTCTAACATAACAAGATTTTACTGCTGCGGAATTCCTCAAAGAGCTTACTACTGGTGTATGTATAGTCGACTCGAACTCATTCATCCTTCTGCAATTGCACAGCATCCCCGATATCGCAGATGCACATGCCAAGTTCGACTACGAAGGAAAAGTAGGCGTTTTCTGCTTTTCCTTTGCTCTTTGTCACGCAACTTTGATTCTTCTTATTAGAGTACATTCTTCCCACTCGCTGTTTTCGACAAGTATTATTGTTTTACTACAGAAGGATCATCAGTGATAACTTATTGTTTGAGTGTGATTCATAGAAATTGGTCTTCCACCCAATTCATCGTCTTACTATCAAATCATATAGGTTCGCACTTATTTTTTTTCTGCAAAAACCCTCAACAATTTTAAAAGATAGCTGAGATGATGAAAAAAATAATGCTGCTTACTATTAAACAGTAACATAATAACAGCATTAAACGATTGCAAGACCAATGGAACATGAAAATGAACCTCAAACAAAAAGGAGGACGCGCATCATTCTCCCATCAAAGGCTTGCCGCCTTTCAGTTCTGCACGTAGCGCCCCACTCGCTCTTCTCTATTGTCTGCCCACGCTTGATGTGTGCTCTTCGGAGGAAAACATGTAGAAGGCGACAAACCGCGGCTTACGTTTGCTTCTTGATTCCTCAACTTTCTCCCCAGTGTCCTTTTCGGACCATAAGCAAAGGGCTTCCCATATTATGCTTAGGCGAAACGCCGCTGTATTAGGGCAAGGTGCAGTATAACGCGCAATGGGGAACATAAGAGCGAGTAGTGGGCGGGACCGCCTACGTGCAGATGCGAAAGGCGGCATCCCTTGGGCTGCCCGAAAAGCCCTTCTGCCAATGAGTTTCCTCGTTCACCGAAAAATAACCTACAAAATAAAACTAATTGCTGTAAAACAGAAAGGAAAAAAAAGTTTGCCCTTTTTAAAAAAAAAAGAAGACTGTGTGCAAAACAAGCAAGAGACACACCTTCTTCTTCGCAGATGTTGTGCTCTGCCGCCGCATCTGAGATATTGTGCGCTCACAGAAAGGGGGAAGATTTGCGTCGACTCTACATTTTTGACAAGCTCGAATGGCTTATATTCATTATTTTTTGTAGTGTCCCACAGCGAAGAATTAGGCTATCCGCAAAATGAAAGCATGGGTAGTTTCGCTGTAAGAACATATATGTATCATAATTATTCATGCAACCAGTCTCCTGGTAGTTAATTCAAAAAACAAAGTCCGTAAATGCAGTCAAGACTTACCAAATAGTCACCACATAATCCTCCATTATATTTGGATTTAATAATACGAAATAAAAGAGATGGTAAATAGAAATGGCAATAATGGGGAAAACAACAAATTTGGAAATCTATAAGTAAATACTACCAGCGGAGTCTCAGCGCTGGTGGGGACGAAAAGTTTCGGGTGAAAGAGTGCAATGGGTAGCATAAAGTCTTACAAGCACGATGGAGCTTTCTGAATGGATTTCAAGGTCAAACAAGGTAAAATTGCACTAACCTTTCACCTTTTATACGGCAGGGTTGTTTGTACGTGCAGCAGTACGTTGTGCTACTTTGCGCAAATCGAGCAGAATACGCCGCAATCTTCTTGATGCCTGGATCGCAGAAAGCCTAACATCTAGGTTACTAAGGGGAATTTCCCGTATATTCGCATAAAGAGTTTACTTTTCTTTGTACAGACTAGACTGATTTCATCTCGTATATGAACGAGTACCAAACTATTCTGTTTGTAACTGCGTTATCAACATATAAACAATTGCGATGTTTGGTCTATGAATTGACGCTAAGCCGGGCATGAATCAGGTGAATCGTGGGATTTTCATGTGCGCTAGCAAGTGTTTTGAGACGTTTTCTCAGCCTTTTTCAATCAATGATTAGTAATGAGTATTAGAGTCAGAACTACATGTATGAGTAATCCTAAGAAGATATCCCTACTACAACAGTGTGAATTTGCGATCAAACGGTAGGTGCAAAATTTACTAGGATCAAAGACAAAATAATAGTGGCAACCCTTACCAAAA